AAAGTCTTAAAGCTAAATCCCTTGTTAATCTTGCGTTAATACTAATTTTCAGTCGTTAGTATCGTAAGATAACAGTATTTTGATATTAATCACACGTTATATAACAAATACCATAAAATGAAATTATGCGTCTTTATACATAAAGGTTATATAAAGCAAATTGAAACTTAAATTAAAGCTAAAAATGATATTAACAATACTACACTTATATATTAAAAAAATTTATATCTCTCATAATTAATTAAGTCACCTATAATTAATTACCATTCCTGTAATTAATTAAGATTATCACCCCATAATTAATTACATTTTCTGAAATTAATTACCATCCTATAATAATTACGACCCATAATTAATTTCACAATTATGATTTTTTTAAAAAAAAGGTAATTAATTACCATAATTACATATTACATATATACTTAATTAAAAATAATTACCTATATTTTTAGAAAATAGATATCTTCTTTTTACTAATTTTCTTTTTGCTTTTTTTTAAAAAATAAAACTTTCATTAGATAATGATAAGTCTTCTTTTTTTGGTAAGCACTTCAGAGAATAAATTTCTTCTCTTAATTTTTTTTTTTTTTTAGAAACAAGATTTTTATTATTTGAATAGGTAAGTTTTTTGTAATTTCTTTAAAAGATAAATTTTTTCTCTTTACTAATTTTTGCTTTTTTTTAGAAATAGATCTTTTGTTCTTTTGGATAAATATTCTTCTTTCTTTCAATATGTTCTTTAAAATTTCTTTAGTAGATAAATTTCTTTACTAAATTTTTTTGATTGTTTTTTTAGAAACAGATCATTTGCTTTTTTTTTAGAATAGATGATCTAATTTTATGAAAAATCTGTCTTAAAAAAAAGAAGCAAAAAAATAATTAGTAAAAAATCAAGAAATTATCTTTTGAAAAAACCCTTATAAAACCAAAGACTTATTTAATCTATCTAAGAAATAAAGGATCTATTCCTAAAAGAAATTTAGTAAAGTTAAGTAACCCATTTTCTAAAAAATCCTAAAGAATCCATTAAAAGAAAAAAGACTTATCTATTCAAAAAAACAAATGATCCATTTTTTAAAAAAAAAGTAGAAAGAAAATTAATAAAAAGAAGAAACCTATTTCTAAAGAAACCTCAAAAGAAGCTTACTTTATCTGAAGAGAAAATTCCTAAAATTTTAAAAAAAAATAATAAAATTTTTATTATGAACTAACCAAAAATGAATATTAAAATTTGATATTTGAAATTATTTTTGATATTTGAAATTAATTTCGATATTTAACAGTATTTTAAATATTTGAATATTCATTTGAATATTTTTTAAAAACTTTCAAATATTTGAAATTCAATTTGAATTTCAAACGAACCCTATAGACGATTTTATCAGAAAGTCAGATAAATAGATCTTAGTATAGAAAGTACTGAACTTTGTATTTATTTTTGCGTGTATTAATAAAAATTTTTTCTTGACAAAAGTGATTATTTATTTTACTTCATTGCTAATCTCCTATAGAACTTCATCTTAGAAAAATTCTCTTGTTGAATTTAATTAATACTTTATATAAGTGGAAGTGATACAGATATACAACCATTTTTGGGATAGATTATTTCAGAAATCTGATGTTTGTAGAAGGGGATTTGGGACTCATAGTTAGCAATAGAAAAAAATAATATGACGCAGGGACTCGCATTACATGACTTTGGATACCTTTGAAAATGTACATTATTTAATTCATCATTTTATAAAAAATTTTTGTTCACAATATGATTTTATTAATTTGTTATGAATTTATCCTCTATTACTCTAAATCAGAATTGGAAAATAAACAGAAGAAAGTAAAATTAAAGCTGATAATTAGTCAAGAGATTAAGCAGGAATAAAAAAAAAAATAGCTGATAATATAATCAAGAGATTAAGCAGGAATAAAAAAAAAATTATATAAGGTCACAGAAAAGTGACTTTAATAATTGAAAAGATAATGTTCGTCGACTTCCAGTTGCCCCTTTTTAGGGACACTGATTTCATAACATCGACTAACATCAGGAATTTCATTCACTCGTTTAGATAAGTTATAAGTGTTGAGCATCGCAACCATTAATAGCAAATTTGGCGGCTATCAAAAGCGAACACACAGTTTGAAGGAGCCTGTTGAGGAAATGAAGCACAACCGGCTTGTACACGAATTTCTAATCAAAGAAAAAATTAGAACAATCATATGAATAGTTGCTTTATATGATATTTCGCGCAATAAATTTTCAATAATATAATTTATATACATACGTTTAATTAAGGCCATCTTGATTGACAGCAGTTCGAGCGTTTATTCCGGCATCGTTCCACTCGATCAAAAATAAAGGATCTTTAAACATATCATTAGGGTCGCATTTTATATCTTTATGTTTTTCACATAAGTATTTTGCCCATAAATGGAGAATGTTATTAGAATCTTCGTTTAATTTCGAAGTCTAATCTATCAAAATAATTATTTAATTCAAACTACAAAAAGGAAATTGCTATAAAATAACATTCAACCTGTCGCTTTTTTGTTGAACTTATCGAATAACTTTTTTAATTTTGATATCATGATTGAAGGAAATTTGTTTTTGTGAGGAAGTTTATTTAGAAAAAGCTTAATTAGAAAAGCTTACTTATATACATGTTTTATTTTATGCTTCGATATAAACTCGCAAAATGCAAAAAAAAAACTGTATGCTTTCACCTCATGTGATTTAATAAATTAACCCATGTGACTTTAACTTACACTAACCCTAATCAATGGGGCGTGACAAATAATAAGTGACAAAGATGATTTAACACCTATATATCCACGTGCCTGGGGAAGATCGGTTAACTATGAAGCAAATTACTGTTACACAAACAAATTAATTATAAAAATGCATTTAACGATGTCGCTTGTATTTCTTTTCTTTAAGAGTACTAATTTACAATTTTCTAAAACTATTATCAGGTTTAATTTATATCCAGCTCTTGGAAGCCAAACAACGACTTCAATTCCGGTTTTTTTCAATATCATGTGGTCTAATTCCAATAATTCAGCTAACAATTTTACTTTTAACAGGAATTTTACCATTAATCGTCCGGTTCGATAGAAACATTATGATCTAATTTTCTTTGCGATCTTTTTGATCTTGTTCAATAATCCTTTTACCGTCATAAAAAGGTTTGAATTTTTTTGCAACTTCCAACGCTTCTTCGGGTTTAAATCCATTCGATTTTAATATATTTTAAAAATCTATCTAACCAAGAATAAGTTTTTGGATATAAATCCGGTTTTGTTATTTCATTTGCTCCTTTAATAAAATCTAAAAACCAAACATTCATTGCTACATGAGTGTCTGCTATGCTAGGATAAGGTGTATCAAAAAACCATTCTCTGTCACCCGATAATTGTAATTCGATCCATTCAAGATTTGATCTAATCTGATCAATTAAATATGAGTTCTTCTGGTTAATTGGTGATCCAATTAATGAAGATCGATCTTCCAATAATTCTTTCGAACTAAAAAATTTTGGAGTTGAAGGTTCTTTGCAATGATGAACTGATCGAAGCCATAAAAAAGTAGCGCTATTAATGATTTAAAAAAAATTTAAATCAATTAATTTAAAAATATATATATAATAAATAAAGAATAACTTACGTCTGTCCACAAAGCCATGCCATGGATAAACCGAGTCCTCTATCGCTTTTATCAGATCCATTTCTTTTTTGGAAAGCGTCGGTTCCGGATATCTTTAAAAATTTAATCGATAATAAAATATAATTTAAGACTTGATGATTTTATTGATGCCTTTTTTTTTCTACCTTCGTTCTAATTCTTCAATAATCAATGCGGTATCAACAAACACATCTGATCCAATTTGAAGAACTGGGACGTGGGTTAAAGTTTGCAACAATCTAAAAGATAATTGTTAAAAAGTATTACTTGGAGAACAAACAAATAATTGATAATTACGGACTTGGAGATACAATGACAGAAGTCCATTGTAATTTCTTAATATGCCCATACAATCTTTTGACAAAATGGGGAACCTTTAAAAAAACGATTGAATTAATAATATTAATAAAAGATTAAATTTCGAAATTAGAAAGTACCTTTATAATGGTGTAAAATAATAGGATTCATAATTTCTCTTTAGAATTGTAAATTTTTTTTTGTTAAAAATAAAATAAATCATTTTGGGGTTGAAGTTAACCGTTCATATGTGATATAACTTAATTTGCATTAAAATAAGCATAGAATTTTTTATCCCGAGGACCCGAGCCAGTTTGCGGAAATAATTCAAAACGCTTTTGGTCCATTTTTTTCTCATAAATCGAAAAAAAAAAGGGGTTAGCCTACTGTATATATCTTATGATGCCTTTAGAACTTTCGAGTAAAAAATGCATGACGCACCCTTGGCCGGGTGGCCGGGTTTATTAACAGTTAATTTGCGCAAAAATATTGATCTGCCTATGGTGCAGTTATCGAGTCGAACTGCGCCACAAACGAGAAGAAAACGATACATTAATCAAATGTATACTGCTTCCCCCGCCTATTTATTATCCTCGGTCGTTCATGGTGTTAAGTTAATGGATAGATAACAAAATTTCGCCTTGTAGTATCTCAAAAATTTTCTCAAATAGCTATCTTTTCACTTCAGAAAGTAACTAGAAGAGACAAACAGCTTTTCTCTGCTTACTCGTAGATGGTTATCAGAGGTAACATGGCATTGGTGCCGAACCTATTCAGCTGTTATTCTATTTCACACTTGTTTACTTATTATTCTTTAGAAGTTTATGTAGTTTAATCTTTGTAACGGATTATTGTAATTTTTTATTAATAAAAATTTCTTCTTTTTTCAGAAATGAGGCGTGTAAGCATATACAGTGGTAAAATGATGATCATAGCGTTGTTGAACCCCCAAATGAGTTAATGTCCGAAATGAGGATTTCGGATATCCCAAATCGGAATGCGCATTTGAGTATAGGAAAAACCGGTTCGGCTGATCAGTATGGTACGATCGTGCAGATCGGTACGATTATTCAAATTATGATCGTACCGTACTGATTCTTTAATATTATTAAGACCAACAGTACGATCATATTTTTTACCGTACTGATCAGCTGAACGGCCCCAAATGTGCTGTGCATTAATCCCAAATGATCACTTCCAAATGTTTATATCGGATATTCTAAATGACCAGGCGACAAGAGGGGTATAATATTCATTGGATAAGATGACCACTTCGGATAATATCCATCATAAATGATTTGCTTATATTTATTAATTTATAACTTGTATTTATAACTTGTTTCATCCAGGTGAGGAGGATTGCAATAATCTACCAATGTAAAAGTTCATTATATTTATTTACAATTTAATAAAGAAAATATTTGACATTATAATATTTTCCACTTTTTTTACAAATATATCGAAATGTAGAATAAAAAGTCTTTTTGCAATTAAATTTATATCAGAAATTTCAACTTCAGAAATATTTTGTAATCTTGAAGCCTCTCTCTAATACTAATGGTATTATTAAAAAATATTTGAATTAGGTTTTAAATTACTTCCATTATAACTAATATTCAAAATTCTAGATTTGTAACCTAATCTATAATAATTTTTTATATAATTTTTCAATTATTTTTACAAGGTAAATTAGGTCTATTAGTTTAGAGTGATCTTTTACTAGAATTCTTAAAGTCACTATATCTCCAACTTTAAATTTTAAAAGATTTTTATTACTTTGATTTCATATAGCTTTTCATATTTTTTTCTATAATTCTTTAATTTCTTTCTGGCTTCATTTTTATATATCTTATGTTCATTTTCAGATTTTTTATTTGAATTACTTTCACTTAAACTATAAAATATTGATTATAATAAATTTATAAGTTCTTGTTTATTACCAGATTCATTATTTGAATCAATTTCACTTAAATTCTAAAAATATTAATTGTATAATAAATTAGTAAATTAGATCAATAATAATAATAAATTGTATTGTATACCACAGTATTATCAATTGAATTATCATTAGGATTAGAGATCAGGTTTGATTTCTGAGTTATTTGATGAAATAGATGTGATAGTTATCTCTAGTTTATTATTTGAATAAATCTTATAACATAATTTTATAAATCCTGTGATATTAGTTGAATAAAATATAGGATTTAATGTTTCTATAATTCCTAGTGAAAAGAATGGCAGATACAATTTTAAATAGTATATAAAAATTTTATTATTTAAATACAATTTTTTTATTAATTGCTAATACTAATGAAACAATTTTTATTAATTAATTAATAATTTGTATGACTTTCTTCTATATTGATATATGCTTTAATCTAGTATGATATACTATTAATATATCTAAGTAATACACTATTATCGAGATTATCTATTCCTGCTAGATTGTGATAAGAAATATATCAAATAATTTATAATTATATTATCAGTTTTATATAACAAACTGATATATTATTTATATATGCGTAAAGAAATACATAATCATTGTGATATTTTCTTCATATTGTACACATTTTAGTTTCAGAATGTTAATATTGACTTTTGTTTTATTTCAAGAAAGCTTAACATGATCATGAAGATGAAATTAAAATCAAAATAAAAGACAAATAAAGATTTAAACTTATCCTTTTAAATTGGAATTTCATTGTCTGATTTGGTCATATAAACTATAGCTTAATCAGAAAATTAAACATGTTATAACCTAAAATAAATGTGAGATAACTACTGCCATTCTTTTTATTAAGGACTGTATATAATTTGAAATAACTCTTTATTCAATTTTGATAGAATCCAACTGCTAGAAGTACTTATAAAAAAAGCTCTTTTAAAAAGACATAAAGGTTTATCTTAAAAATAAATTTTAAGTAGGGTGATATAATTAATCTATTGGTGATTTATAAATTAAATAGTTATTTCATTAAGGCCTAAAAGCTTTGATATTGAGATTTAAGAAAATCAGTCTTAATATTAAAATTTGTAAAATAATTTTTATGTAATAAATTTATCTCTTACCTATGGAATACTTGCAAAAAAAAAATTATTTAAAAAGTAGGATTTTTAAAAAATTATCAAAATCACATTTTTTTAACAAATATCCTATATGAAAGGTTTGCTAGGAAAATAAGACTCTAAGTATTTTTTATTAAAATTTTAATATATAATGCATTTTAATCTAATATTATTAAAAATTAAAATGCAATAAAAATTTCTTAGAACTCCATTTTTCTAGCAAATCTCCTATATAATAAAAGTAATAATTAAAAATATTATAATATAAATTTTAACAAATTTTAAATATGATATTAAATATTAAAATTTTAATATTTTTTCAATACATTTTTTTTTCAAATTTATAAAAATTTACTTGTTAATTAAAGTTAATTATAAATATATTAAAAATAATATAATACTTCTTTTTAAAATCAAATGTGATTTTATAAAATCTAAAATTTTTAATTTTTATTATTTTTATATTATTAAAGTGTTACAAAATATATAAAATTAACATAATTACTTTTTTTTATATATTTTAATTATTTATTTATAAAAAATCATAAATTTAAAAATTTTAAATTATTTATTTAATGTTATTATTATTAAAATAAATTTTTATAGATTTATAATAAATTTTATAATATATTTAATTAAAATTAAAAAAAAAAATTATAAATTTTAAGATAATTGATTGAAAATTATAACTAAATTTAAATAAATAATTATCATTAAATTAACATTTTTAGATAATATTAAAGTAATTTAAGAGATTTAATATATTTTTAATTAAAAAATTAAATTATTTTACAATAGTTTACTAATAAGTTTATTATTATTTATCTTAAAATCAAATCCTCATTTTTACAATTAAGTAATAATTTTATTATTATATTATAATATATTAATATATAAATTATTAAATAATTAAAAGCTAATAATTTTTTATAATTTAAAAGAACTTTTGAATTAAATTTATTTTTTATATATTATTTATATTATTAATGTTGTTATATTGTAATTAATTATTTTATATATTTATTAAGATAATATTTAAAATATCTTTAATATTTAATGAATTTATTTAAAGTAAAAGTATAATTGAAAAGTTTTCAAGTTTAAAGAAGGCTATATATATATAATATAATACATTTATTATATATTTATTAATATTTTTTTTTTTTGTATTTAAAATAATTGATTTGTCATTTTCATAAAAAACCTGTCCGGTTTTATATCATGTATGTTAGATTCAAATAAAATATTCTAAAAAAAAAATCAGAGACATGCGGGTTTAGCTCAGTTGGGAGAGCGTCAGACTGAAGCGCCTTAGCGATCTGAAGGTCGGGTGTTCAATCCACCCAACCCGCACTTTCTATAACTTTCTTTTTAACCTAAAAAGGAAAAAAACCTTTTACAATTGAAACGGAAATAACACAAAAATTTCAAAATATGAATTTTCTTTCATCGAAAGTGAAAAAATAACGATAGATTACGTAAATCAGAATTTTTTATACAGTAAATTCATATCTTTGAATCCGTTCTAGTTGTTTTTTTTTCAAATTTATTTAACAATAAAGAAATTCAAAATTTCATTGCGTTGAATTTTGGTTTCTGTAATTTTGTGCATGGTCATTTATCATTGTATAAACGTATCGACTTAATAAATCATTTGACGCAGTAATCATTGCCATAAAATGGAATTTTATTACCATATCCGTATCATAGCAATCTTTTTATCATTGAGATTTAAATGCTGCTAAGAGATTAGATCATATTTGGGCATATTCACTACGATTCTATTAAATTCAAGCTATAGGAAGGTCCAATAACAATTATTTTTTTTTAACCCGTTATGTGAAAAACCATCAATTAAATTACCAACTGTTACCAATTAACTTATATCTTTGTAAAATTCTTTTATCCATCTTATTGAATCATTATTGAATCATTAAAATATGAAGTTTAACAATATTAAT